TAGTAGAGACGGGGTTTCACCATGTTGACCAGGATGGTCTTGATCTCTTGACCTCGTGATCCACCCGCCTCGGCCTCCCACAGTGCTGGGATTACAGGCTTGAGCCACCGCGCCCGGCCAACCCAACTGTTTTCTAAGCCTTCCTTGGAGTTTAGCAGGCTCTCTAAAAAGCAAATTGTGGCGTATGTTGGTTCTCAGACACAAAAAACTCTAAAAACATTATCTTTTGTGTCTTCCATTTGGGAGAAAATGCTGTGACACTTGGCAGCTTCTGATATGGTTGCCATATCAGAAGCTTTTAAGTACAAATCTTTTAAGTACAAAGCAGACCAACTATATTAGGTGACCTTGGTTTCATTCTTTGTTTCCTTTTCCCACCACCAACTAAATCAGACAGAATCTGCCTTTCACAGAGGACAATTCATCAGTGGTTACACTGAGAGCTCACATCGTCTAAATGAAAGGAATATAAAAAGCCCGTTGGAAGGGCAAACTATCACTCTGAGGAAATAATACCGCATGTCTAGCTGCCCTGAAACAGCTTAGGAATAGAAGTAGAGATGACAGATTTGGTGAATAAAGCCCTTGACAGAGGAAACACATAAAAAAGATAATTTTCCAAGAATTTTTTTTTTTTTTTTGAGACAGAGTTTCTCGCTCTTATTGCCCAAGGTGAAGTGCTGGAGTGCAACGGCATAAGCTCAACTCACTGCAACCTCTGCTTCCTGGTTCAAGCAATTCTCCTACCTCAGCTTCCTGAGTAGCTGGGACTACAGGCATGTGCCACTATGCCCGGCTAATTTTTTTGTACTTTTAGTAGAGATGGGTTTCACCATTTTGGCCAGTCCGGTCTCAAACTCCTGACCTCAGGTGATCTGCCTGCCTCAGCCTCACAAAGTGCTAGGATTACAGGCGTGAGCCACTGCACCCAACTATAAGTGAATTTTTAAACAGTCACATTTTAGGTCAGGAACGGTGGCTCATGCCTGTAATCCCAGCACTTTGGGAGGCCAAGGCAGGCAGATCACCTGAGGTCAGGAGTTCGAGACAAGCCTGGGCAACGTGGTGAAACCTCATCTCTATTTTAAAAGAAAATTGTTATTGGGCCAGGTGCAGAGGCTCACACCTGTAATCCTAGCAATTTTGGAGGCTGAGGCAGGAGGACTGTTTGAGGACAGGAGTTCAGGACCAACCTGGTCAACACAGTGACACCATGTCTCTATTTAAAAAAATAGCCGGGTGCGGTGGCTCAAGCCTGTAATCCCAGCACTGTGGGAGGCCAAGGCGGGTGGATCATGAGGTCAAGAGATCGAGACCATCCTGGTCAACATGGTGAAACCCCGTCTCTACTAAAAATACAAAAAATTAGCTGGGCATGGTGGCACGTGCCT